CCAAAAAAAAAACCACAACCCCAAAGCCTCAAAGCCCCCCCCAGACCCCCGACCCACCGTGTGACGGCGTATCCGTTCAGCTGTAGGAACTTGAGCAGCTCCTGCGCCTTCTCGCGGTCGCGCGCCTTCTCCTTGGCCGTCAGCGTGTCGTAGGGCACCAGCAGGGGGTGCGAGCCCCCCCCTGCGAGGGGGGAGGGGAGGGGGGGTCAGCACCCAAAGGGGGGAACCCATGGGGCAGCACTTATAGGGGCAGATCCGTGGGGGAACCGTTGGGGGAATCACTGGGGGAATCATTGCTGAACTATGGGGGAACACTGGGGAATCACTGGGGAATCATTGGGGAACCAGTGGGGAACTATTGGGGAACCAGTGGGGAACTATTGGGGAATCATTGTTGAACTATGGGGGAACTATTGGGGAATCACTGCGGAACCAGTGGGGAACTATTGGGGAACTATTGGGGAACCAGTGGGGAACTATTGGGGAACCACTGGGGAACCAGTGGGGAACTATTGGGGAACTATTGGGGAACCAGTGGCGAACCAGTGGGGAACTATTGAGGAACCATTGGGGAACCACTGGGGAACTATGGGGGAACTATTGGGGAACCAGTGGGGAACCAGTGGGGAACCATTAGAGGAACTATTGGGGAATCATTGGGGATTCATTGGGGAACCACTGGGGAGTCACGAAGGAACTATTGGGGAATCATTGGGGAACCATTAGAGGAACTATTGGGGAACCATTAGAGGAACTACTGGGGAACCACTGGGGAACCGACGGGGAAGCATTGGGGAAACATTGGGGAAACACTGAGGAACTATTAGGGAACTACTGGGGAACCAGTGGGGAAACATTGGGGAACCATTGAGGAACTATTGTGGAACCACTGGCGAATCACTGGGGAACCACTGGGGAACCACTGGGGAACCACTGGGGAGTCACGAAGGAGCTATTGGGGAACCATTGGGGAACCACTGGGGAACTATTGAGGAACCATTGGGGAACTACTGGGGAATCACTGGGGATTCATTGGGGAACCATTGGGGGAACTAGTGGGGAACTAGTGGGGAATCAGTGGGTAACCATTGGGGAACTATTGGGGAACCATTAAGAAATCACTGAGGAACCACTGGGGAACCACTGGGGAATCACTGGGGAACCAGTGGGGAACTATTAGGGAACCACTGGTGAACCATTAGAGGAACTATTGGGGAACCATTAAGAAATCACTGAGGAACCATTGGGGAATCATTGGGGCACTATTGGGGAATTGTTGGGGAACCGTTGGGGAACTGTTGGGGGAACTACTGGGGAATCATTGGGGAGCCATTAGAGGAATATTGGGGAACCACTGGGGAACTATTGGGGAACTATTGGGGAACTATTGGGGAACCATTAGAGGAACTATTGAGGAACCATTAGAGGAACTACTGGGGAATCTTTGGGGAATCATTGAGGAACTATTGGAGAATCATTGCTGAACTATGGGGGAACTATTGGGGAATCACTGGGGAACCATTGGGGAACCACTGGGGAACCATGGGGGGAACCATTGGGGGAACCATTGGGGGAACCATTGGGGATGGCGTCCCCTATAGGAGCGTCCCAAATATGGCACCCAAAGGGGCAGACCACACTGGGAGCACACGGAGGAGGAGCACTTATGGGGTCAGCGCTTACAGGGGGGCAGATCCACGGGGAAAGCACTTATGGGGGCAGCAGACCCATGGGGAAAGCACTTATGGGGGCAGACCCACGGGGAGACCATTGGGGAACCACTGAGGGACCATTGGTGGACCATTGGGGACACGGAGCGTCCTCCATTGGAAGGTCCCCAATATGGCACCCACGGGGGGCACCGACCGCAGGGGGACCCCATACTGAAGAGGAGAGGTTTTCTTGGGGTCGGAGGGAACGCCCGCTTGGGGGGCACCGCGGGTGGGGGTCGTGGGGCTGGGCTGCTCACCCTTGGCCTCCAGCTCCTGCTTCTTCTTGCGGCCCCACGTGTTGTGGTAGTTCTCGGCCAGCTGCTCCGCCATCGCCTGGGGACGGGGATGGGGTCGGTTGTGGGGTCGTGGGGTCGTGGGGTTGTAGGGTGGGCCGTGGGGACTCACCTGCAGCTCTCGGGACAGCGTCACCCCTGAGAGGTCCACGGGTTGGGGGTTGTAGCCATGGCTGGGGTCGTAGGTGGCCTTGGGGGGGAGATGTGGGGCCGGGGGTGACTCCGCCGCCCTACAAACGGCCAGGAGGACCCTTCCCCACCCCACGGCCCCACAGCCCCACCTGAGCTGACTGGGAGATCTTTCGGGTTTTCTTCTTCTCTGCCTTCTCCTCGTCGCCCTCCCGTGCCTTTTCCACCATCCACTCCCACGCCAGCATCGCCTTCAGCGACTCCTTAATGGGCCAGCGGTAAATCTCCTTGTCCTGCGGGGCGGTTGTGGGGTCAGGGGGGCTGCGTGGGGACGGGGGGCCCGGCGGGGGCAGGAGGGGCGGGGGGGGGGGGGATTGGAGGCGGTGGAGGGTTGGGTGGGGGTGGGATGGGTGGGATGGGGACGGGTGGGAATCAGTGGGGGCAGAAGGGAAGCAACGGGGGCAGATGGGAATTAATGGGGTTGGATGGGAATTAATGGGGTCAGATGGGAATCAGTGGGGTCAGAAGAGAAGCAATGGGGTAAGATGGGAATTAATGGGGTCAGCTGGAAATTAATGAGGTCAGATGGGAATCAATGGGGTCAGAAGGGAATCAATGGGGTCAGATGGGCATTAATGGGGTCAGAAGGGAATCAGTGGGGTCAGATGGGAATCAATGGGGTCAGAAGGGAAGCAATGGGGTCGGAAGGGAAGCAATGGGGTCAGAAGGGAAGCAATGGGGTTGGATGGGAATTGATGGGGTCAGATGGGCATTAATGGGGTGAGTGAGAATGAATGGGGTCAGAAGGGAATCAGCGGGGTCAGGAGGGAATCAGTGGGGTCGGATGGGAATCAGTGGGGTCAGAAGGGAATCATTGGGGTCAGGAGGGAATCATATGGGAATCAGTGGGGTCAGAAGGGAATCATTGGGGTCAGGAGGGAATCATTGGGGTCAGAAGGGAATCAATGGGGTCAGGTGGGAATCAGCGGGGTCGGATGGGAATCAGTGGGGTCGGATGGGAATCAGAGGGGTCAGGAGGGAATCAGTGGGGTCAGGAGGGAATCAGTGGGGTCAGAAGGGAATCAGTGGGGTCGGATGGGAATCAGTGGGGTCAGGAGGGAATCAGTGGGGTCGGATGGGAATCAGTGGGGTCAGAAGGGAATCATTGGGGTCGGATGGGAATCAGTGGGGTCGGACGGAGGCCTGCACCCCGGACACCAGCACCCCGGTACCTTCTCTGAGAAGGTCTTGTAGGGCCGCAGCATGGGGTGGGTTTTGGCCTCCTCGTCCACCGTCTCCCCATAGGTCCAGTTGTTCTGGATCTGCCGAGGGACCGCGAGACGAAGTTGGGGGTCCGGGGGGGTTATGGGGTGGTGGGGGGCCGTGGGGGGGGGTGTCGGGGTCCCACCTTATCGAACGCCCACTTCTCGTGAGTGAACTCCGCGTATTTGTTGATGAAGCCGTCCAACTTTTCGGGGATGATGACGCTGTGTGGGGGCACGGGGGGGTCAGCGATGGGGGACCCCAACCCATGGGGGAGCGGAGACCCCACAGCCATCCCGTGGGACATGGAGACCCCATATCCATCCCATAGGAAACGGAGACCCCATATCCATCCCATAGGAAATGGAGACCCCATATCCATCCCATAGGAAACAAAGACCCCATATCCATCCCATAGGACACAAAGACCCCATATCCATCCCATAGGACACAGAGACCCCATATCCATCCCATAGGACACAACGACCCCATATCCATCCCACAGAACACAAAGACCCCATATCCATCCCATAGGACACAAAGACCCCACACCACCCCACTGCCATGGAGACCCCACACCCATCCCATAGGAAATGGAGACCCCATATCCATCCCATAGGAAACAGAGACCCCACAGTCATCCCATGGGAAATGGACACCCCAAAGCCATCCAACGGGACAAGGGGACCCCATATCCATCCCATAGGAAACGGAGACCCCATATCCATCCAATGGGACATGGAGACCCCATACCACCCCACTGACATGGAGACCCCATGTCCATCCCATAGGAAACAGACCCCATATCCATCCCATAGGACACAAAGACCCCATATCCATCCCATAGGACACAAAGACCCCATACCACCCCACTACCATGGAGACCCCATATCCATCCCATAGGAAACGGAGACCCCATATCCATCCCACTGCCATGGAGACCCCATATCCATCCCATGGGACAAGGGGACCCCATATCCATCCCATAGGACACAAAGACCCCATATCCATCCCACAGAACACAAAGACCCCATATCCACCCCATAGGACACAAAGACCCCATATCCACCCCACTACCATGGAGACCCCATATCCATGCCATAGGAAATGGAGACCCCATATCCATCCCATAGGACACAAAGACCCCATATCCATCCCATAGGACACAAAGACCCCATATCCATCCCACTGCCATGGAGACCCCATATCCATCCCATAGGAAATGGAGACCCCATATCCACCCCATAGGACACAAAGACCCCATATCCATCCCACTACCATGGAGACCCCATATCCATCCCATAGGAAACGGAGACCCCATATCCATCCCATAGGACACAAAGACCCCATATCCATCCCATAGGACTCAAAGACCCCATATCCATCCCACTGCCATGGAGACCCCATATCCATCCCATAGGAAATGGAGACCCCATATCCACCCCATAGGACACAAAGACCCCATACCACCCCACTACCATGGAGACCCCGCACCCATCCCACACCCAACAACAACAGCACCCCACATCTCTCTCATAGGAAACCTTTGGACCCCTATAAGACAAGAAAACCCCACACCCATCTCAAAGACCCCACACCCATCTCAAAGACCCCACACCCATCTCAAAGAGCAGGGGAAGAGCCGGGCGGAACCGGGGGCAGGTATTATGGGATGGGGGATGGGGACAGGGGGGGGATGGGGGCCGCCCCTACTTGAGGGTCTCGACGGGTTTGGGGTCGAAGTTGCCCTCGGCGTCCACCGACGCCTTCTTCTCCGTCTTGGAGGAGTAGCTGGCGTCCACGTAGTCGGGGGGCAAAGCGCCCGCGATGGCGCAGAGGCACGGCATGGCCAGCTTGTACAGCTCGGGGTCGAACTTCTGTGGGGTGACGGGGGGCTGGGAACCCCATACAGACCCCACACGGACCCCACGCGGACCCCACGGCGCCCCGCGTGCCGCCATCCCAGCGGGGTGGGTCCTCACCCACGGCTGGGTGCCCACGTCCCGTTCCTGCGCCGCTCGGATGTCCCCATCCCCACAGCCTCACCCCAATGTCCCCCACAACCCCACTCCTCACCCCATTGTCCCCATTGCAACCCCACTCCTCACC